TTGGAACCATTCATGATGGTAATAATGAGCCGCTGTCCTTATTTGTTGCCAGGTGCCTATTGGGCCATGTACAAAGATCCCAGCCAGACGATACTCGGGCATCGTCTGAGATGGGGATGCGGCGAAAGCGGTGCGAGACCTCCTGGTGGCGGTGTTCACCGGGAGGTCCTGGCCAACTCGACACGCGGCGTTCACCCGAGAGGTCCTGACCAACTCGACACGCGGCGTTCACCCAGGATGTCCTGGCCAACTCGACACTGACCGGCACGGTCGGAAATGCCTACCAAGATGGCGCTAGAAACACAAACTCCCGATAAATATTAAGAACTTGTGCCTTTTTTACATCGGCAAAGTTAGTTCTTGTAACGTGCTCCATCCGGCGTGTTCGTGTATGAAAACCTTACGCATGAAACTGTTGGCAAAGTTGATAGGTACTGGACCTCTTCCGTACTAGTCTCAGTCAACAGCTCTTGTCAGTACACGGATGTGGGTAAATGAATTAATGATTTATCTTCCATTCTTGCTGTTGATGTTGTTCTTGTGATTTTTGTGATTATCGTTCGATGTTGTTCCGCTTCTCATTCCACCGCTTCTCATTCGCACTAATTGCTCTGTTGAATCGTCGATCTCGCCTAATCACCTGTGATTTACACGCGCGCTAACGGCGGCGGAGGCGCGGCACCGCGAACACTCGGGTGACTCCACGTTGCGCGCTCCGATCAGGTCGATTGGGCCGAGATCGTTGAGCGTCAACACCGACTGGGGGCTTAGCTTTCCCTGCTTGGCCTCCGGGCGCCCTTCTCGCGCGGAGTCACCTCCCTGTCCCTCTTCTTATCCCTCCTTGCATAGACGGTCTCCATATTGCACGCTCCGGTAATGGCCCCGTGCCAACAACCGTCGCAGCGCCAACACCGACTGGGGGCTGAAGCATTTACTGCTAGGCGACCCGGGTGTCCCTCCCCGCGCGGAACCGTCTCCCATCTCCCTCTTCGTCACCCTCCTACACATTAGCTTAAACGATACAGGGTTTTTCCCCGCGCTATTTCGGCTTCAGCGCGGGGTTTTTCCCTTTGCAATAGGCGCCGGGTTTTTCAGTTCATAGAACTTTTTCCCTGGCTGAACACCCCACAACTGAACACTGACACCTTGCACAAGTATGACTGTGTGCATGAATGTTAATAAATACATGAACCAATGTTGTGTTTTCGGTTCCAGTACCTTCTTTCGGCACTTCGATAACAAGTAAGTACTCCGTTAGCTTTGCCACACCTAAGATAGGCTCCCACGTTGTTATTTGCTCCCGGGTTAACATAAACCGGTTTAACGTAACTTTTGCATCCCGGCCAAAATTGCCGGGTTAACTGTCCCACCGCTCGAGACTGGCGCTAGGCTGGCCGAGAAAAAAAGAATGCTAAGTGTATCCATGGTACTGCTCTCAAATGATATAAATATTGCACAGCCTTGGATTATTTGTATTACAAATGCTTGCTTTTAAGACGAGTACCATTCGGTCGTCTACCTCTCTCTCCGACCTCGGCTCAGCGCAGGCACGTACCTATTGACACGCCTGATAAAGGAGGTGCAGTATTCCTCTGATCTTTACCTACGAGATTACTTCATATGTGTTAAGTAAGCGATATTGGCGTTTTTTCTTTCGTGATGCGATGTAGAGCGTGGACGATAGGACGATAGACGATAGGACGATAGGTCTGAACACAAAAAAAAAAAAAAACACTACCAGAATGTGCCTTAAATGTCTCGTTAGTGGAATAAAAGTCTCGTTATCGGAAATTCCACTACCTGGCCACTATCCCTATGTAAACAGGGCTAATGAGAGTGTGTCCGGAGTGGAAAGTTTACGGAGCGAGAACTTTCAAATTATGACGTGATTTGACCTTGAAAATATTGTCCTTAGGTCATAAAATTTGGATCGTTAAGAGTTCATATACAGTATACACGCCTACTCACCCACGAAACTCCGCAGTCCGCACTTCCAGGAGCGGAAATGGGAGGAGGAGGGGGGGGGGACAGAATCTGCGCGCCTCCCCTCGAGGACTCGTAATCACCCGACCCTCTCCAGGGCGCAAGCTAAAAAGTAATTTCAGTAGTGCGAGATCATGATCCTCGCTCAGTTTTGTGTTCACAGGCATGCATGCATCCCGTAACTTTTTACGGATATCCACGGCCTCTGCAGGATGCGAGCGTCCAGCTGGTTGCCAACAAAGTGTACGCTCAGGTCGGCCAACTGTTGAAGTTCCCGAAGAAGAGCAGGCGAGTTTGCTGGGTTCGGGAGAACATCCGTTTGTCAGACGTGGGGTACTTCCAGGATAAAACCCTGGATGAAGTGATGGGGCATGTCAAAACTTTCGCCGCCAGATGGCAGGACCACCGTTCCAGTCCATGTGAAAATCGAACGAAAAGCATCCCCGTAGACAAAACCTGGAGCAAGCTTGCGCCGTTTTCACACAAATGTAAAACACTTTTAGCAATGACGTCATATATAACATGTCTGCCAATCAAAATAGTACCCGTGATTTTGACGTCACATTAAAAAATATAATAATTCACAGTAAGTTTGATGGCGTCTTGTTCTGCGTTTCCCTGTACAGTGAGATAGATGATCGAGAGGAGAGGTTGTTGGTGTTAGTTAACCCTAGAACGCCTAGGGGGGGGGGGGGGGTTGTATCAACCCCCCCCCCCCCTGAGGTTTTTTCGAAGTGCACGCTAATCGGCTTGTCGTAGCGGGCTGAAATTTTCAATACCCTCTGGGGCAACCTTTGCGCATCTTTTGCCGAAAAAAATTGATCGGGTCATGTCAGGTCACGGAGTTATGACGTCATAAGAGGTACAGCCTCCGGCCGACAGTTACCAAACGTGTGCGCCGAATCCCTAGGTTTTCTGCCGGTGATACCCACATTGTTTGATGGATCATGATGAAACTTCCCATGCATGCTGGGGCAAGCATTGGCTATCGTGTGGTGCAAGAAAATTGACCGGGTCAGGTCAGGTCACGGAGTTATGACGTCATAAGAGGTACAGCCTCCGGCCGGATTTTCACGAAGTGTGTACCGAGTCCCGAGGTTTTCTGCTGATGCTATCCACATTGTTTGATGGATCGTCATGAAACTTCCCATGCATGTTGGGGCAAGTATTGGCCATCGTGTGGTACAAGAAACTTGACCGGGTCAGGTCAGGTCACGGAGTTATGACGTCATATGTGGTACAGCGTACGCCGCCATTTCTGAGAAGTGAGTGTCTGATAAATGCGCCCCCAGCTTTTTTACGATTGCATGTGGAGTAGTGCAAGTATGCTAATAGAACTTTCCAGACATGTTGGGACATCTATTGACTAACTTTTGAAATAAACAAAATGGCCGGGTCATGTCAGATTAGAGAGGTATGACGTCATGAGTGGTCCAACATCCCGTACGGTTATGTGCAGCCGTAAATTATTTGTTTTACAACGATTATATGAGCAATGTCGGTATATTTATCCATGGCTAGCGCTAGTCATTATTAGGGGAAGCGGGGGGAGCACCGCCACCTTAAGCATTTCTGCTCACCGAGCTCATATGCGTAGTAAAAACGAAGCTCTTTTGCATTCATGTGAAAGTAGGAATGTTTTCCTACATGTTGGTATAGTTTCCAGCGCTCCATTATAAAATTTCGCTACTTTACAGACATTGAAAACAAGTCCTGCATTTTCCGTCCTCCAAAAAATGTGCGGGTAGCACCGCCACTGATGGCGATGTTATCCACAGATCGGCCTTACGGTGACAGCCACCCTTGGAAGCGTTACTGCTGTCTGAAATAGTAACTCAAACTCATATAAGACACACAAGAGTTGGTTGTTAGTTTGTCACAGATCAAACTGTTTGTTGCGGACAATATGCATACAAAGCATGACAAATTCACGTTTATTTCGAAACATCCAGTGAAGTCAAACGTGAGGTTAAAAAACAGACTACGTTTGCGGCCTAACTAAAGCTCTTCTCCGAGCTGAGTGAATCATCATTGCGGCTTTATCCATTTTGCCACCCCTTGGGGTAACACCGCCGAGCATGGCGGTGTTACCCCACACACAGTCATGGACCAACAACGCCCCGACAGCAAAACAAGCCGGGACGCGATTCTTCTGTAATTCCTTTCTAAACGAAGAGCACTTCATGCCCTCAAATTTAACGTAAAAATCAAGGCATTTTGACTTGAAATGACCACTTACTTGCTGCTAAAACATGCCAAATGATTACAACGATGGTTTGAAATTCACAAAATGGGCAATTGCGAACTCAAAATCAAATAAATCTTAGCGAAACCTACCTCACGCGGCGTCCCGTTTCCGTTCGGACACCGAAATGGCGGGTGTTTGCATTTACAATTCAGAGTTTTGCCGATAGAGAGGATGGCGGTGTTTCCCACATGGCGGTGCTACCCCCGCTTCCCCTACTTTGAGCTTTTGTATTGTGGCTCGAACTTTCAGAGGCCATCGAAGGTCAATGACCTGGGTTGACCTAACTTTGGCCGGCACTTTGTGATTGGAACATTCTCGAAACATCTAGTAGCTCGATGACGAATCGAGAACGGTGACGAGTTTTTATCTTGAGAAGACACGATTCGCAAAAAAAAAATTCAGGACAGAGGTTTCCAGAACATTCGGGAATATTCGGGAACATTCGAGAAGGTCATGCCGCCGGGCGGTGATTGGCTGCTTCCCGCGAGTGGGCGGCAGTCTTGGGCATTCCAGAACATTTGGGAACATGGAACATTCGGGAACATTCGGGAAAATCATGCCGGCGGGCGGTGATTGGCTGCGCCCCGCGGGTGGGCGGCACCCTCGGGCGCTGACTGGCTGACGGCTAGCAGCGATCGTATTTTTTTGTAGATATTGCATGATTGATCTAGATGTAAGTAGATAAATTTTGCAATGTAGTATAAAAGGGGTGCGCTCGGCAAATGCAATCAGTTCAAGATTTCAAGGGTTCCTGCGCGGGCAGCTCAAGATGCCACGCTCAAGAGGCAGGAAGCGGGCGGCTGAGCCTAGCACTAGTGGGTCACCCCGCCGTCCAGGCCAGCCTCTGACAGCAGAAGAGATCCAGCTCTTGCTGCAGGAAGACGACAGCGATCCTGAGGTCCGGTCAGAATCGGACGATGACAGCGACTGGGATGAAGAGCCGGAAGCTGTCACCGACTTCACAGAAGTGGACGGCGAGCCGCATCAAGCTGCCGCTGCTGCTGCAGGGACTCCCGGTCCCAGCGGCGATGGCCATGCCGTGGCTCCCAGCTCAGACAGCGAGGCATCGGAAGACGAAGCTGCTGACCGCCCGGCGGCCAACTTCACCCGGGTGGAGCAGGCTGGTGGCCAAGAGCTGTCAAGAACAGGGTGGGTGTGGACCACGGTGCCGCCCAATCACCGTGTCCGTGCCCGCCCAGGCAACATCATGCGCGGCAGCCCGGGCCCAAAGGGAGCGGCGAAGGACGTCAACATACCGAAGGACGCGTTCGGCCTCTTCCTTCCAGATAGCCTGCTAACGCAGATTCTGGAACGGTCGAATGAAGAAGGAGAGCGCCTCGCAGCAGCAAGCAACCGCACCCACATCCCCGTGACGCTGATGGAGCTACGGGCCTTCATTGGTCTCGTTCTCCTGCGGGGTTGTGAGGGCGACCGCCGCTGCAAAATCGACGACCTGCTCTACGGGCCTTTCTCAAGGCCATTCTACAGGGCGACGATGACGAAGAACCGCTTTGTCTACATAAAGCGGATCCTCCGGTTCGATAATCGAGCCGACCCAGAAGAACGGCGCAAGAGGGACAAGTTTGCGGCAATCCGAGATGTCTTCTCGGATTTCAACAGCCGTCTGGCCAAGTTCTACACGCCGTCAGACTGCATCACCGTCGACGAGACGCTGCGAGCCTACCGTGGTCGGTGCGGCTTCGTGATCTACATGCCGAACAAGCCGGACAAGTACGGCCTGCTGTTCCGGGACGTAGCAGACGTCCGATCACGCTACATGCTGAACATCATGCCGTACGCCGGCAAGGCTGAAGATCCTGACCCTGAGCTCCACATCACCGGAGCGTCCAACGTGGTCCATCATCTGGTCCGGCCGTTCTATCGCACCGGCCGGAACGTGACCGCCGACCGCTTCTACAGCTCGGTGGACCTCTGTGAGGAGCTTCTCGCAGAGGGCCTCACCTACGTCGGCAAGGTCATGGCAAACCGTCGACACCTGCCGGAGGACGCAAAGAAGACCGAAGGGAGAGAAGTAAACTCATCGAAGTTCTACTGGTCCGAGAACATCATGGTGACGTCCTACAACAAGAAGACCAACAAGAACGTGCTGCTGCTGTCGACCCAGCACGCCAACCCGCTGGTCGCCGCTGACGGCAAGAAGAAGCCCGAGGTTATGTTGTTCTACAACGAGACCAAGGGCGGAGTCGACACGGTCGACCAGATGATCGGCACCTACACCTGCCGGGTGGCGACGCGGCGCTGGCCCTTGGCTGTCTTCCTGCTGATGCTGGACGTGGCGGCTCTCAACGGCTGGGTCATCTGCGCGGCATCCGGGTCCTTCTCGGACACCAAGCACGGCGACAGGAAGCTGTTCCTGAGGGAGCTCGGCCTCTCCCTGGTGAAGCCGCTGATCCTGCTTCGACCTGCTGAAGGGCTCACCATGAAGACAAGAGCAGCCATCGAGAACGTCCTGGGCAGCCGTCTACCGGCCCAGCCGCAGCCACGCCGAGAGCCCACCACCGCACGCGCCAGGTGTGCCACCTGCGTGGCAGACCAGCAGGGTGCCGGCTACAAGCGCAGTCGGCACACCAACGTGAACAAGGTGAAGTCGCGGTGCTGCAAGTGCAAAATGCCGGTGTGCCGCAAGCACAGCAAGCGGAGCCTTCCTCTCTGCAACAGCTGTGACGCTGGCCCGTCCGGCGTGGAGTGAGCGGCAGTGGCTGGCAGGTGACGAGTCACACGTGTTGTGAGGTCACTTGTGATGATGTGTCTTTCATGATGTGTCTTTCATATGTGATGATATGTGATACATCGTTTGCTGTGAATTGATTGCTGGAAGTTGGAAATACACTTTTCTGAGTCGTTACCTACAGTATTTATAGCGGAGCAGTGGTCAACAGCCGACGAATCGGGACAAACACCGGAGGGTGATGTGACACCATATCACTCATCAGCAATAGGCCTCTTACTTTTATAGGGTAAATACACCAAAAACACCATATATGATGCAGAATTGAGTGGGGAATACGTTGTTGAAGGTTTGAAGTTAATATCTCTCACCGTTTTGCCGCAATCGTTGCGCAAAATTGAAAAGGTTTGATTTTTTTTCGGAAAATTTGACCTTTGACCGGTCATAAGTAGGTCAAATGTTGACCTAGGACCAAAAAATATACCACCAATCGCGAGATCTCGTTGAGAGCAATCCGTTGGTTTTTTCCGCTAAGCTCTACGACCTTCCGTTTCGAAACGCCAGGGGGGGGTCGTAACAACCCCCCCCCTGGTCGTTCGTGTTATGAGAAATGGCCTGGTCGTGCGAGGGTTACATAACATAACATGTATTCCATGTAACAGCAGGCCACTTGGGCCGAACGAGGTTACAGGTAGATGAACAAACATTGTACATATGTAAAACACGGTACAATTACACCATTTCATCGAACACTAGCCCACGCTGTTTATAATACAAGTCTAACTCATTTTTAAAATTACTTAAGGAGGAACTATTGATAACTCTAGGAGGTACACCGTTCCAAGCTTCTATGACCCTACTGGTAAAAAAGGACTGTCTTAACTTGGTTCTGGTTCTGGGTTAAGCGATATAAGTTTTTTTTTGGAGATATCATGGAGAAATACGGTCACATGAGAACTGAGCAGCTCAAGGCTCTCCTTCGCAAAAAGGGAGAAAAGGTGACCGGCAAGAAGCGTGACCTTGTGGAGCGCCTCGACGCTTATGACAGGAACGATGATTTTGGTCACATAGAGCCCAGTGGTGAAACAGAGGTGCAGTTTTCAGTTCCAAAGGAGGTTGAATTAGCAAGTCTGAGTGCTAAGCACAGGGCTGGAATGCCGAATATCGACTATGAGTCCATTCAAGAGTACATGTGTGGTCATGGTGGCCAAATCCATAAGAGCGCCTTCCCCATGTTCAAGGCAAGGTTCGTGAAAAGTGTCATGGTCGGTACACTATCAGGTACCAGCTATTTCCAAGGAATGATACGAGCTGAAATGAGAAAACGCATGCATACACTGTAGTGCTATATCTGGATCATGCAGCGTTTGGCGTCTGTGAGGGTGTGTCCAGAGTGGTGGGTGCGGGAGAACATCAGTTTGTCAGATGTGGGGTACTTCCAGGATAAAACCCTGGATGAAGTGATTCGTTGGGCGTCGGTGAGGGTGTGTCCGGAGTGGTGGGTGCGGTACACCAACGAGGACGGTGACGAACTGCACAACAAGGCAGCAGTGAACAAAGTGCGGCGCCACTGACGTAAAACCCAGTGGGTGAAGACCGATGCAGGTCCACGAGGAGAAATACTGGACCGTAACGTGTACCTTCTGGTAAAACTGTACCGACAGCGGCACTGGTGTGCAGTATGGCAGGGCACAGACTTGGGCACTTGTAAATCAGACATATGCATGGCCAAGTTAAGGTTAGCTGGGTAGGAGGTGACTTGTGGCGGCAAAAAATCAGTCTGATGACTGAATCTGTGTGCCGTTTGGCAGCGGCCCTGTTTGCCCGTGTCATTTTGTTTGCTGTCTGACCATAATTTATGTGTACTTACGGATGTTTGTTTCTTTCTTCAGTTGGTCATCAGCTCATCGGCCGCTAAGCATGGACGTGCTCGAGGTCAGCGACCCAGAGGCACACCGATGGCTCTCACGGCACCTCCGACGCTCGGCGCCCCCGCTGCACCTCCTAATAGGAGACTCGGTGGCGCGGGATGCCGGCCTGAGATCCAGACTCGGCCGGCACCAGTTCCTCAACCTGGCCAGAGGCGGCGCAACACGGGCTTCGACTACCGATGAGCTCCACACCATCCTGGACCGCTGGACGTCGGAGGCGGAGAGAGCGGGTGGCCGACGCCCTTCAGCTGCCCATCTGGCTGGCCATGACGGCGGCCTTCCCGGACCGCTGAGCAGTGAGTTGTGAGTGAGCGCGCCGAGTCGCGACACTCCGACACTCGACGAGTGTGTCGGAGAGTGCGGTGTGACGCTCCTGTCTCGCCTTTGAAGCCACGCTGTGAGTTTTTCTGCACCGGTACGGTGCTTTAACCGCTACTTCGTATCAATTCCCGTGATGAGACATCCACAGTCGGTCTTGCGGCCTCTGACCCCGCCAGATACACCTCCCCCTCCGGAACCACCAGAACCACCGTCCCCACCCTCCCCGGTATCGGATCATGTTCAGGATCCAACGTTCAATCCGTATGATTCGGACAGCATGTCGCTTCCTGAAGCTGTAAAATCAACGTCCTTTGTGGACGACTGGTCGGATTCCAACTGGGACATGAAAGGTTAACCTCCGGTCGGAGCCCGAGTAGCAACGCGACGTATGATGCAGGAGGGGTTACCGGGCCGTAGCACGGACGTGTGGGTGGAAGTGGGCACTGCCGCCGCTTCCCGCGCGCCCGCCGCCTCCACCTCAGGCGCGCCAACCGCCGCCGCCGCCTCAGGTGCGCCCGCCGCCGCCTCCGCATTCGCGCCCGCCGCTGCCGCCTCACTCGCGCCAGCCGCCGCCGCCTCAGGCGTGCCCGCCGCCGCCGCCGCCGCCTCACTCGCGCCCGCTGCCGCCACCTCACACGCGCCCGCCGCCGCCACCTCACGCGCGCCCGCCGCCGCCACCTCACACGCGCCCGCCGCCGCCACCTCACGCGCGCCCGCCGCCGCCGCCTCACGTGCGCCTGCAGTGGACAGCTTCCTGCCTGCAGAGGGCTGGACCACGGCAGTGGCACTGTGGTAACCTGTCGTCGCCCGTGTAGTTCAGCGCGACCACCGGCGGAAACATGTCGCCCAGTGCCCTGGCGGCCAGGACTGCCCACTGGCCGGGGAGATGAGGACTATCAAGGGCATCGAAGTGTGGTCCGCGCCGACCTCCAACACGGAACGGACGTGTTCCTGCGGAGAAGTGATTCGAAGCGGAGGGTACGGGCTGAGAAAGTGCCTGAGCCGGCACCTCAAACGCAACAAGGTTCATGAAGGGGATGATCAAGGAGAAGTGCTCATCAAGGTACCCAACACTGGGCACCGACTGGTGGCCAGGACGTGGGCCTGCGCCCAGGCCACTGGCCTCCCTCTGCTAAACGGCCCAGAAGTTCCGAAGCCCCCTGGCCCAACTCAAGACGGTGAGACTGCCGGTTCGTCTGAAGCAGCTCCAACACGCTACGTGACACAGCGGGAAGATCTGCATCGCTTGTCTGTGGAGCGGGTGGGGCCCTTCAGACCCGAATGGAGCGTCATGAACATTCCGTTCAAGAACGTGCACACGAAAAGGCAGTACACGCAGCACCTGACGCGCCTGCTACGTGCATCGAACATCCTGGATCACGACAAGCCTCTGGAGAGCCTCGACTTTCGGGTCTTGATGGCGGACACATCCTCGCAAGAAGCGTTGCGCAGCGCCCTGTCGGATTTTTTGAGAGAAAAGTATCCGACCGGGTATATGATGTGTATGTCGCTCAAGTGGGTGACCAAGATGATCGGGGGCCGGATCATCGTGGTTCCCGATGACCTGGAGCTGCGCTGGCAGGGGTACCTCGAGGCTTTCAACAAGCTCATTGACTATGAGCTGACGATGGCGGCCGACTCCAGAAAAGAAGCGAAGCGCGCCCGTCGGGACCGGAAGGTGCAATCCTACCAGAGCGACCCCGGCAAGGTCCGAGAGCGGGGTCTACACTGGCTCCGAGAGATAAGAGAAAACTGGTTCACGGCGAGCCAAGAAGATCTGGAGCCAGTGGCGCGGCTTTTCGCCCAAGTGCTCTTCATACTATCCAACTTGTTCCAAGGCCAACGGACACAGGTGTTCGCGGAAGTAACAGTGAACGAGTTCCGCCGAGGCGAAGACACGGAGCTAGGACGCTTCGTTGAGCACATGGGCGGGAAGACGAAGGACCAACACGGAAGCGCGGTTGCGTTCTTCCTAAAGGCGGAAGCAGATCTGACGGCGTTCTACCTCAAGTATATGAGGAAGCACCTCCGAGACGCACCAAAACCGCAAGTCTTCCCCATCCAACGGTACCCCGCCCAACTGGGCCAGTCGCGCCAACTGCTGGCTATCATCGGCATCGGCGCAGATGAGCTCAAGGCCATTATGGGGGTGGGGAGCCGCCGCTGGCACAACACCCTGTCGGTGGAGAAGATGCGGGCAGGGCAGCTCACGTATCCTGAGTTTGAAAACCTCTGCAGCCTCCGCCGCCACTCGGCCCCGACCGCTCAGCGGGATTATAACATGGAGTCCCGCCGCGAGCGGGACATCGAGGGCGTGAAGCAGTTCGTGGCCATGGCAGGCGTCCACCCTGACCCCCGCTCCAGCGTGGAGCCATTTGTCTTGGCGGACATCGTGGCGGAAGAACCAGTCCCCCACGACTCACCCGAAGACGACTCTCGCCAAGAAGACGACTCTCCAGGAGCTGAATCCTCGCCTCCCCCACCGAGCCTCGCACCTCCGGCTACAGACGTGGTCCCACCAAACCCCGCTCCTCCGGCTACGGACGTGGCCCCACCGAGGGAGCATTTTGAAGTCATACACGCCCGGCTGACCGCGGCGCCCGCTATGCCCTCCAGGGGCAGGGGGCGCAGCTCCAACCGCCCGTGGAGCCTTTCTGAGCTCGCATATGCTAAAATGCTACTTGAGAGGGGAGTTCCGTCAACGACAACGGCTATTACTCACTGGATGCAAGAAAACGACTTCCAATGGAGCGAGGTCAGTGGGCGACA